CCTGAAGCGCCAGCATCCCATATGGGTGCCGGTTCAAGATCCAGCTGCTCCACTTCCAATCAAGCTCTTTGCTATGGCCTGGGAAAGCAGTAGAAGATGGCCCAAATCCTTGGGCCTCTGCACCCATGTGGGATACCTGGAGGAAGCTCCTGGTTCCTGGCTTTGGATCAGCACAGCTCTGGCTGTTGCGGTCAATTGGGGAGTGAACTAGCAGATGGAAGACCTTTCTTTCTCTCTCTGCCTCTCTTTCTCTCTCTGTGTAACTCTGACTTTCAAATAAATAAATAAATATTAAAAAATAATTTAGCTCTTATAATAATTTTGTGAAATAAATAGAGTTGGCACCCCTACTTCACAGATGAGGATTCTAAGATTAAGAACTCAAAAGTCACACAGCTAATTGGGTAGTAGAGATGTCACTAATCCATAAAATCTGACTCCACTGCTTTTCTCTTTTCTTTTTTTAATTTTTTATTTATTTGACAGAAAGAGTTAGACAGTGAGGGAGAGAGACAGAGAGAAAGGTCTTCCTTCCGTTGGTTCACCCCCCAAATGGCCACTACGGCCGGAGCTATGCTGAGGCCAGGAGCCAGGTACTTCTTCCTGGTCTCCCACGCAGGACAGGGCCCAAGCACTTGAGCCATCCTCTACTGCCTTCCAGGGCCACAGCAGAGAGCTGGACTGGAAGAGGAGCAGCCTGGACTAGAACCCGGCACCCATATGGGATGCTGGCACTGCAGGCCAAGTGAGCCATGGTGCTGGCCCATCCACTGCTTTTCTTACAAGCTCTGTATGAGCAATAGGCCAAGAATCCAGATCAAGGGTCAAGCCAGGATACTTTTCACTTAGTGTTCATGCGAATTATATAGTAAGAAGCTGGCAGCAATATGTTCACCCAGGTTTTTTGTTTTTGTTTTTGAGATTCTCAAAGTTAAAATACTTTTAAAAATATTTATTTATTTGAAACAGAGAAACAACTCCCATCTGCTGGCTCACTCCCTAAAAACTCAAAAAAGCCAAGACTTCAGCTCAGTATTGGTTATTGAGCTGTTGGGCCATGCTGAAGCCTTGAGCTTAGAACTCCATCTGGGACTCCCACATGGTTGGCAGAAACCCCGGTACTCGAGCCGTTACCTGCTGCTCTCAGTATGTGGATTATAGAAAACTCGGATGAAGAGCAGAGTCGGGACTTGAACCCAGGCACTCTGATAAGGGATGTGGGAATCTGAAGCCACACCTTAACTGCTGCCCCAAACTCCCACCCCCTACAAACACTTTAAAGGATCTCCCAATATTATGTTAACAATACGATAGTGAATAAATACAAAACAGAGCTTCTGTTCCCAAGTAGCTTATAATCAAAGTGGAAGAATCAGAAGACATTAAATTATTAAAATAATTGATTATTAAACTGTTTTCACTTACTGTGAAGCACTACAGATTTATCATTGTGGACATAAGTAGCCTGAAGATCTTCACGGGGGAGGTAGAAAATGAAATGAATCTTGGGACATGAATAAAATAGTAGGGGTATACTTAATGCTGAGGAGACAAAGGCAAGGAGGTGATTTATGTTTGCAGTATATAAGTAAACTGAAGATATTTTGTTTTTGTTTTTTGAAGGACAGGTCCCATCTGCTAGTTCATTTCCCAAATGACCAAAACAGCTGAAGGCTGGCCAGGAGTAGGTTGGGCTGGGCCAGAGCCAGAATCAGGAGGCAGGACACAAGCCCGGTCTTCCATGTGGTTACTTGAGCCAGTACCACTGCCTACCAATACCAGCGTCTGCATTGATGGGAAGCTGGAGTCAGGAACTGGAGCCGGGAATTGAACCCTGGCACTCCAGAGTGATAACGTGAGCATCTTAACCTAGAGGCTAAACACACTCCCCTGAGTTTTTAATAATTTTTTCCTAGTGGGGTAGCCTTGGAACTTGCTGTCTCAATTGCACTTTTTTAGCACTAAAACTGTTAGAACTTGTTTCATGGACTTGATGGGGTTATATCTAGCTTTAAATCTTTATGAAGAGATCTTTGATGGCTTTGAATCATTACATTCATCAAAATTGAACTGTATATAGGGGCTAGGTAAATTCTTGAGAATATCAATAGAAATTAGAGGTAGTTACCACAGGAAAGTTAATAAACTTGGCTTTGATAAATGTAATATTGTTTCTTTCTTAGTAAATTAAACAATTTTCCTGTAGTGTATCTTGTGGAGACTCATTACCTTAATCAGATAATGCTAAATTGACTAAATCATAGATAACTGAAAAGTACAGTCTATTTTATGTGTAATGATCCAAGTTTTAATTTCAGCATTAGCCTTTTTCAGCATTAGAATTTTATTTAAAGCTAATATTACATATTGTAACTTTGTCTCTGATTAATAATAGTAGGTATGAGTAATTTAAGGTAGCCCATTTTAAATAGGCAAATAAGAAAAATACTGTCATTTTTCATACTGAAGTCGGTTAAATCACCTTTGAATAGGTCTTGATATGGATGTGATATATCTTGCTTGTTCTACAGTAAATAATGGGATTCTTTGATTGCAAGCAACCCAAACCAACTCTGGGGCACAGGTAGAATTCATTAGGAAGATGTCAAGCAGCCTAATTCATTGGCCTGCCCCTCATGCACAGGAGTGGTGAAAGAAAGGCCTTACCCAAGGATTCTCCAGGAACCTTTGTTCTACCTAGTGGCAGGGCAAGTGCCGGGATTTACTGTTTCTACATTCTTCACAAAAAAGGGAAAACAGATGTGGATGGGTGGAAACCACACCTGTTGCACACACTGAAATCTACTGTGCCCCCAGAAGATAATTATGATGAGAATTTGTCAGGATAAAGATCTAAAATCACTGCCTTCATTTGTCTTTGGGCAAAAATTCTCCAGAGACAACTGTTGTCTAAAACTTCCCTGAAATTTCAGTCCTTTTCTCCATTGTGTAGGATGTGAAATTCTTCACTTTTCTGAAGATGTATTCTAAATTGGAGATGGCTTGATTATTTCTCATTAACCATGCCCTACCCGTGTCATTTCCTGACATGTGCATTTTTGCATGTTTGCTTTTCTCAACATTGTCCTCTCAGTATCTCCTGTGAGCCGGTTACAACTCAGTTATGAAGTTGTGTTTGCCAGTGATGTTCATTAGAGACCCAAAAAGAGGGAATATGCAAAACAGAAATATCTACTAAGAGAACTCAAAATAATGATAGTTTAGATTCTCTGATCAGTAATTCCTATTTTTACTTTACATGATTTTTCTTTGTTTTTTAAAAAAAATCCTAATTACTCTCAAAAAAGCTTTATTGTTTGTGTTTAAAAAAAAAGTTACAGAATTTTAAAAGCCCTTTTAAAAATTTCTTTTCCAGTGAAATGAAATTAAGGCAGTTAGCTGAAAATAAAAAAAAAAATCTTAATGCAATTCTTTTTCATTTGCCTTTCCCCCGTTTACTTTTAGTATTCATTCTGAGACAAAATCACATAATATTTCTTTGTGGTCATAGTTGAACAAACATTTTATATGCACACAAGTAGCCTGTTGAGTAAAAATATTCGTACATAGCCTGTTAGAGCAATATCAGTATTGTCACTCCCCTAGAATCATGATTAAGAGTGAGAACTGGGCCGGTGCCGTGGTTCACTAGGCTTATCCTCTGCCTTGCGGCGCCAGCACACCGGGTTCTAGTCCTGTTCAGGGTGCCGGATTCTGTCCCGGTTGCCTCTCTTCCAGGCCAGCTCTGTGCTGTGGCCAGGGAGTGCAGTGGAGGATGGCCCAAGTCCTTGGGCCCTGCAACCCATGGGAGACCAGGATAAGTACCTGGCTCCTGCCATGGGATCAGCGCGGTGTACCAGCTGCAGCGCGCCGGCCGCGGCGGCCATTGGAGGGTGAACCAACGGCAAAAGGAAGACCTTTCTCTCTGTCTCTCTCTCTCACTGTCCACTCTGCCTGTCAAAATTTTAAAAAAATAAAAAATAAAAAAATAAAAAGAGTGAGAACTGGTGTCCAGACTCATCTTCTTTAGTGCAGGATCCTGCTGCCAACACCTCACTCATCTGTCTTGCCACCCACAACAGGACTGTTATCTGTGGAAGTTAGTGGTGGGCACACTTCCTTGCTTCTCAGTTGAAGGCTTAGGACCTAGACAGGCTGAAGTTATGGACTCCTATCTGAAGATGCAGGTTGCTCAGATGATTTTAAAAGCCTAATAGAGATAAAGCTTTTGCTTTTAAATGATCTTTAACAATCAATGTAAATGTTGATTTGTCTTGTGACAATGATCATTTGCTTTGTGAATTTAAAATTATGGTAAAACTAGCTCTTTTGCAAGCTGTTACTAACAAGTAACAGTTCTACAAAAATGAAAAGAAACTATGGATTGTTATAATGGTTTCATTACGTAGTTGAAACATTTTCAGTGGATTATATTCAATGCCATTATCACTGATTTATTGTTCATTTTCATGAAGATTTGTTAATAGTCACTTTTTCCAGAAACACTTAACGGGAATCTCAAGGATTTTTTAATTATGTTTTTATGCCTCAGCTTTACATACTTGAATTGCTATTTGTTTATTGGAGTTAAATTAATTACTTTTATAGCTGCTTTCTGAGTTTAAAGCTAGAAAGTCACACACATGGGATCTTCACTTTTACATTTTAACTGACATCTGATAACCTGTATCTTTAAGATATTACTGTTGTTTTTCAGTTACATATGAAATGCCTCTTGGGTCCTTTGGTAGTAATGCCTGTTGAAAAGATGTAGAGTCTGTATTTCATAGTAGTGATTTATTGTAGCCAGCAGAGAAAGCATGACAAGTACCTACTGCAGGAGATAAAGCAGTCCTAGTCCCAACCAGCCCTTTCTGTTCACAATTGATTAACCTTCCATTTTCAAAGGTGAATTGTGGGGGCCTAACCTGAAACCATTGGGTTCCTCTGCCATTGTAGAACAGTGAAGACAAAAGCACTCACCATCTTAATATTCACAGGACTGTGCTAAAGAATAATGATTTAAGATCAAGACAAGAGTTAACTGCCCACCTCACCAACCAGTGGCCTTCCCCAGGAGCTCTGGATGTCAATGCTGTTGCCTTGGATACGTTGCTTTACCGAAAACACAATAAACAGTGGTATGAGTAAGTGTAATACTTTTTTTTTTCCCAACTAATTACAAACTTAGCTGTACCAAGACAGGTGGCTGTCCATCTTGGTTTCTCATTTCTTCTTTCTGAATTTATTACTAGGTGAGATCAAACGTAGGCTTTAGGACTGTTTTGGTGTCAGGTTATATTAAGGCTTTGCATGTGTTAATATTTTGAAGCCAAGGCACCCTGGGGAAGCAACATTTCTCAGAAATTCTTATCCAAAATTGGACAGCTGTCTATTTCTCCTGAAGTTTAATCTTCAGCCAGTCCTTGCGTTAAAACTGTGAACTTCTAAAAAATGTACTATTGATTTATTTTTATTTGAGAGAGAGAGAGAGAGAAAAGAAAGATAAAAGAGACCTCTCATTTGCTAGTTTGTTCTGCAAATGCCCACAACAGCCAGGGCTGGACAGCTTGACGTTAGTAGCCAGGAAATCAATACAGATCTCCCACATGGGTGGCAGGGACTCAGACACTTCAGGAGTCAGTCACCTGCTGCCTCCCAAGGGTGGCGCACATTAACAGGAAGCTGGAATTGAGGACAGAATCAGACTGTATAGGATGTGGGAATCCTAACTAGCTATCTTAATCATGATGCCAGACACCCACAAGTACTTTTAAATTATAGCTTTGATGTTGTATTTGCCTTAGAATTAATTTTCTAGCTTGTCAGAAAGCATAAAGTATATCTCTGGAAGTAACATTTATTTGTGCTCATTGGATCTGAAATTGTTTTGTCCATTTTTATGAAATCTAAGTTTTAGTAGCTGTAGAGATGCAGTCTCAATATATGGGCCACCAGTTCCTTTTCCTGTCCTTTGTTCTGCTGCTGGAAACTGTGTCAAGGCACCATTCAGGACATCATTTATCCCGAATGCCTTGTTTATTAGAGTTTACATCTGTATGTGTAACATGTGGTTGTTTTTTTTTTTTTTACACAAATTTAAGGGAGTTGTAAAAATTCTTTCTTCCTTAAACTAATGTTACTTTTGAGATTTGTAAGTCATTTGATCTTCTTTTGTATCTTAGCCACTTTTTCCATATTGATCCTTTTTTCTACCATCTTGATTTTCTGTCCTCAGCTAATTTTCTGTTTTCCCTGATACCCCACCTCCCCATCCCCTCTATTCACTTCCCTTCCTTTCCTCTCTGCTTTTCCCTTCTTTCTCCCCCCTCCACTTTGATCTTTCTTTACTTTTTCTTTTAGAGTCCTTATTTTTAATTTCAGTGGAAGAGCCATGTGTTGCTATGTACTTAGGGCACCTTCTACCAGGTAGTTAGTAGCCAGACATTTCTGTGTTAACCCTTATTCTTACAAAGACAAAATTCAAAAGAAATTTGAGTTTGAGGCAACACTAGGGATTTTAGTGTTATTTCTTCTTTCATCGTTAATAAGGAGAAAAAAGTGAACAAATGGATAACTTGGCTATGTTGTCATCTACTCATGGAAAGATCTCACAGTAGATCTTAAATTTATTTCCATTTATTATGCTGATTTTACAATTAAAAATATTTTACAATTAAAAATATTTTACAATTAAAAAAATTGAAAATATGATTTCCAATTTCTTGACTACTTAGACCTGGCCAGATTAGCTATGCTGTAACTTATGTATTTATTTCAAAGACAGTGGATATCATGTTTAAAAAAATAAGAAAGTATTATAGGCTTATAGTAATCATATAAAATAAATGTTTAGTTTTTCGTTTGTAATATGTTCTATATTGATATTTTATATGTAACGTGGAGGTTACAGGAACCTTAGATTATCTGTCATAATTTTATTGTATTATTGCCTCATCTGCTCATTCTAATCCCACATGATCAAATTCATTTTGATCATGCTTAGATTTTCTCCCAGTTTTGCTGTTATTCACACTGCGGAATTACTAAGACTCAGTAGCTTTTACGTGTCCTTCATGATCTATTATATACAAGCTTTTACTTTTTCTTAATGACTTTGGCTTCAGATATATCAAGAGTTCTCCTTTCCATGTGTGTCTTTCAAACATTCTTAGAGTAGGAGTCCCCAAAGGACAGAATCTACAGAAATCTTCTAGGCTTGCAAACTGGACAATGACCTGATTCACAAACAAGGAAATTTCAAAGTATTTATGGAAAAGAGGGAATAAAAATCTGTTTATTTTGGTGCAAAATTTTTGAAGTTTAAGTATAGCTTTATTATAATAATAAATGTTTCATGAGGTATTGAAGGCCTTTCATAATTTCTTATCTATTAGGCTTTTCTGGCTGTCCTTCTCAGTTTTATTAGAGTAAGAATATATTCTGCTGAAGAGACTGATTATTTCTTAAGCATTTTTTATGAAAATAAATCAAGAATTAAAGAAGAGTATACTGCCTTTTTCTGTGTACATTGTCTCTGTGTACACAATGTGAATGTATTTTAATTTTAGTTTTCTATGTGTAGATAATGCTCATCTCTTTCTATGAATCACACGCTCTGTTACCCAGTGACTTCCAGATCATATAAATTATAATTGACTTCAACACATCTATTGGGTAAATAAATGACATAGTTTCTATATCATTTTTTCTCTTGAAAGGCAGAGTGGACAGTGAGAGAGAGAGACAGAGAAAGGTCTTCCTTTGCCGTTGGTTCACCCTTCAATGGCCGCTGCGGCCAGCGCGCTGTGGCCGGCGCACTGTGGCTGGCGTACCACGCTGATCCGATGGCAGGAGCCAGGTACTTCTCCTGGTCTCCCATGGGGTGCAGGGCCCAAGTACTTGGGCCATCCTCCACTGCACTCCCTGGCCACAGCAGAGAGCTGGGCTGGAAGAGGGGCAACCGGGACAGAATCTGGCACCCTGACCGGGACTAGAACTTGGTGTGCCGGCGCCGCAAGGCGGAGGATTAGCCTAGTGAGCCGCGGCGCCGGCAAGATTTATTTTATTTTTATTTTTCATTTTTTTGACAGGCAGAGTTGATAGTGAGAGATGGAGACAGAGGGAAAGGTCTTCCTTTGCCATTGGTTCACACCCCCCCCCCCCAATGGCCACTGCAGCCGGCGTGATGTGATTGGTGTACTGCACTGATCCAAAGCCAGGAGCCAGGTGCTTCCTCCTGGTCTCCCATGTGGGTGCAGGGTCCAAGGAGTTAGACCATCCTCCACTGCACTCCTGGGCCACAGCAGAGAGCTGATCTGGAAGAGGGGCAACCAGGACAAAATTTGGCACCCCAACCGGGACTAGAACTCGGTGTGCCAGTGCCGCAGGTGGAGGATTAGCCTATTGAGCCGTGGCGCCGAGTTTCTATATCATTATAATACTGACCATTGATATGAAATATAATACTATAAAAATTGATCTGTCAGTGGATTTGGACCTACTGTTGAATTTCCTCTTAAAAATTAGATATTTTTTATGAGAGGGAGAGAGATTGAGACATTCCATCCATTGGTTCACTCCCCAAATTCTCAAACAACTGGGACTAGGCCATGACAAAACCAGGATCCTGGAACTGTATCCTAGTCTTTCACATGGGTGACAGGGACCCAAATATTTGAGCACTTTATCTCCTGTCTCCCAAAGTATACATTTGAAGGAAGCTAGATTGGAAACAGAGTAGCTGGGACTCCAGCCAGGCACTCCAGTATGGAGTGTTCTAAGCAGAAACTCATACCACTGCACTAAATGCCAACCCCTCAGTATCCTTAATTTGTCTTTAGTGGTACCCAGTCTTGTATATATAGGTTTATATTTGAGTGGTGTACAAATGTTTAAATAGTTAATGTTGAATGTATATATCTTATATCTCAAATGTCTGTGAGATTCCTAGACATTTAAATTATATTTAACATCTAATGACATAGATTGAACTATGAATTTTTGTGTAGCCCGAATGCATGACTCTTACTGTCTTGGGTAATTTTGTTTAAGTCAGCTACTGGTATTTTAAGGATTGTATTCTGAGAAACAGTAATAGGTACTGGATTGATGTGGTTACATTTCAATATGATGTTAATGAGTCTAGAATTCTAAGATAGAATCTAGCCTTGGCCTTTGGCCAGGTAAAGTCTATAAACGCAAGGATTCTTCACTAACTGTGACACATGAGGGGGTTGAAAGGTTCCAACCGTGAGGCTCTAGAAGGCCTTTAATGGGTCACAGAGAAAGTCGTTTCCTGTTGCTATTGTCAGGGGCTAGATTTTACAGGATTCTGTCCTTGAGATTATTTCAAATGTGTAGAATTGTAAGTTAGAATTTAGCCATGGCCTTTTAAAGAAAAACTCTCGCAGATGAATAATTTACTGCACGACAAGATGTTTGTCAGATGGCACTGCCAGTCTTGCTGGACAACAGGTGAGAATGTGGATGTGGAACCCATTCTTTGCCATTACTGAAAGTGACCAAACTAGTTTCTACCACATGGTGGGTTTGTAGTCATTTTCACTCAAGGAAGATATTGTAAGGTACTATTTTTAATATTGTATGAATTAGGCACTTAATTCTGGGTTGAAATTTTCATTGTCTACCCAGTTCTGTTGTTATATTCATTGTTGGTTAGGTAAAGTCTATAAACTCAAGGATTCCTCACTAATTATGACACATTAAGGGGTTGAAAGTTTGCAACTGTGACTCTAAAAGGATCTATGAGAGGTCTCAGCGGAAGTTCTTCTTGTTGTTGTTCTCAAGGGCTACATTTTCAGACCTTCCTCCCTCCAATGGTGTAGTCCTCAAGATTGTTGCAAATGTGTGCTGTCAAACTTGTCATCTATACTTAAAATACTCAAATACATTTTATGTCTTTTTGTTTTTGGGTATTTTGTTGGTTGTAAATTTTAGTGTATACTTTTTTTTAAACTGAAAATATTACGCTGAAAAAATCAGTTTCTTATGCTGAAAAAATCAGCCAGAAACTTCATGTTAAGCCATCATTCAGTTTAAAAATCAAGTTACAAGGCCAGCGTCGTGGGACAGCAGGTTAAGATGTTGCACCCACATCAGAGTGGTGGTTCCAGTCCTGGCTGCTCCCCTTATATTTGTTCTACCTTCCTGCTAATGAGCCTGGGGAGGCAGCAGATGATGGCTCAAGTACTTGGGCCCCTGCTTCCTGTGGGAGACCAGATTAGAATTCCTGGTTTCCGGCTTGAGCCTGGCCCAGACCTGGCTGTTGTGGTCATGTGGAGAGTAAACCATTGGATAGGAGAGCTCTTGCTCTGTTTTCCTCTCTGTTGCTCTGCCTTTCAAATAAATAATAAATAAGTTTCTTTATTAAAAAATTACCCCCATTGGGCACAGAAAAATAATTTGGAAAAGAAACTTCTCTATAACTATGACTGTCCATTAAATTCCTGTGTTCCTTCTTTCCTCTGTTGCTAAAGAAGTAGGATTTTAGATGAAAATCAAGTGAGATTTTCAGTGAGTCAATATACTTAGCAAACAAAGTTGTTCTTTGAGAAGGGTTTCTAATGGGAAGGTGCATCTTTTCTTTTTATTTATGTAGATATATATATTTTTATATAGGGGAGGAGATAGGATAGTAATGTGGGGAAAATAAGGCCGGGCAAACAGTCTTCAGTCTAATCTGTTTATGTCCCAGTTTCTTCTGTTTTAAAGTAGAGGTAGTACTAATTCCAACTTCTTAGAGTAATAGAGAGAATTGAGTAAGTTAATATATATATATATATAAAAATATGTAGAAGAGTGCCCAACATATAATAATACATAAATACTGGGTATCATTTTAAATTAGATAAATATCTATAAAATTATAATTCATAGAAGTATTATCTGTTATAATCATCAGAAGTTTTCTGCAAAATAATTTCCTGCTAGTTAAAAATAATTGAAGACCTTTACATTCTTGACATTTGAAAAGTCATCATATTAAAAAGTGAAACATTATTTGCATTTTAATTTTAAAAAGTTATTTCATCACTTCATTATTTCTTCAAGGGAAAAACAGAAATCTGTTGTATACTTGTATGCATAGATTTCAAACATTTTTTGCGCAATAATAAACTTATTTTTTAATTTCATTTTCACAAACTTTTTTTAAAAAGATTTTTTAATTTATTTGAAAGTTGGAGTTACACAGAGAGAGAAGGAGAGGCAGAGAGAGAGAGAGAGGTCTTCCATCCGCTGGTTCACTCCCCAGATGGCCACACAGCTGGAGCTGCGCCAGTCCGAAGCCAGGAGCCAGGAGCTTCTTCTGGGTCTCCCACGTGGGTGCAGGGGCCCGAGGACTTGGGCCATCTTCTGCTTTCCCAGGCCATAGCAGAGAGCTGGATCAGAAGTGGAGCACCTGGTCTCAAACTGGCACCCACATGGGATGCCAGCACTTCTGGCCAGGGCATTAACCCGCTGTGCCACAGTGCCAGGCCCTCACAAACTTTTTTTTTTTTAAAGTTTTATTTTTTTTTAATCCATTTTAAAGGCAGAGTGACAAGGAGAGGAGAAAGACAAAGATCTCCCATCTCTGGTTCATTCCCCAAATGCCTACAATGGCCAGGGCTGTGCCACATGAAGCCAGGAGCCCAGAATTCATGGGTAACAGGGACCCAAGTACTTGAGTCATCAGCTGCTGTGTTCCAGGGTGTGTGTAAACAGAAAGTTGTGTTGGAAATGGGGGGGGGGCTCAAACCCAGGGACTGTGGAATGGAATTCACATTTCCAAAGCAGTATCATAACTACTACACCAAACATCCGCCCCCTCATGAACTTTTTAAAGTACCCTTTTGTATGTACTCACTATGAAATCCTATAAAATTTTAGCATAGTAGGATTCACCTAGAATAAGTACAGAAACATTAAAAATAAGGGCAGGCATATTGTGAAGTGTTTAAGACGCCACTTGGGGTGTGTACACCTCCTACTGGAATGTGTGGTTGGAGTGCTGGCTCCTCTGCTTGGGATTCACCTTCCTGCCAGCGTGTTCCCTGAGAGGCAGAGGACGAGGCTTACTTACTTGGGTGCAGACCATCTGTCTGGGACACCTGCATTGCATTCCAGGCTCCTGGCTTTGGGCTGGCCCAGCTCATCTGCTTCAGGCATCTGGAGAGTCAAACAACAGATAGAAGATATCTGTCAGCCTGTCTCTCTGCCTTTCAGATAAAGTGAAAATAAATACTTTGTAAAAAAACTATTGTTGGTAAATCTGTTGGACTCTGCCTTGGCTTTATAATTTTTTTTAATTTTAGTGGCAGACAAAGATAGGCAGAGAAAGTGCTCCCATCTGCTGGTTTGCTCCCCAGATGCCTGCAGCAGCCTCTGGCTGGGGCCGAAGCCAGGAGCTGTGAGCTGGACACTCAGTCAGGATCTCTTACTTGGGTGGTAGGAATCTGATCACTTGAGTCATCACCACTGCCTCCAGGGGACGCATGGGAAGTAAGCTGGGTGCTTGAACCCTAGGCACTCCAGTATGGGATGTGGGTGTCTTTTGTCTTTTTTTTTTTTATTTGAGAGTTAGAGGTACAAAGAGAGCGAACTTCTATCCTCTTCTATCCACCCACTAAGTGGCCACAATGGCCAGGGTGAAGCCAGGATGATTCCAGGAGCCAGGAGGTTCATCCAGTCTCCCACATGGGTGGCAAGGGCCCAAGCACTTAGCCATCTTCCACTTCTTTTCCCAGTCCATTAGCAGGGAACTGGATCAGAAGTGAAGTGGCCAGGACATGACCTGGCACCCATATGGGATGCTGGCTTTATAGGCAACAGCTTAACCTGCTGCGCCACAGTGCTGGCCCCAATGTGATTTTAACCAGTGTCCTAACTACTAGGCCAAATGCCTACCCCTGCCTTACTTTTTTAAAATAGACAATTCTGTTTTAGTAAATGAATATTTTTCCTTTTATCTCATTTTGGATGGGATCTTTATTAACATAAAGCAGCACTTGGGTGAACTATTCAAGCTATATTTAATGTTTATACCTTTGATAAATGTGTAGTTTACTCCTGTGTTTATGAATAGCAATCACTATGAAATAGATCATTTAATATGTACTTTCCTATAAATATTATTATAAAATATATTTCTATGACATTGGAGAAACCCTGCAAGATATAGGTACTGGTAAAGACTTCTTGGAAAAGACCCTGGAAGCACAGGCAGTCAAAGCCAAAATTAACTATTGGGATTGTATCAAAATGAGAAGTTTCTGTATGGCAAAAGAAACAGGAAAGTGAAGAGGCAACCGACAGAATGGGAAAAAATATTTGCAAACTATGCAACAGATAAAGGGTTAATAATCAGAATCTACAAAGAGATCAAGAAACTCCACAACAACAAAACAAATGACCCACTCAAGAGATGGGCCAAGGACCTCAATAGACATTTTTCAAAAGAGGAAATCCAAATGGCCAACAGACACATGAAAAAATGTTCAAGATAACTAGCCATCAGGGAAATGCAAATCAAAACTACAATGAGGTTTCACCTCACCCCGGTTAGTTGGCTCACATACAGAAATCTACCAACAACAGATGCTGGCGAGGATGTGGGGAAAAAGGGACACTAACCCACAGTTGGTGGGAATGCAAAGTGGTTAAGCCACTATGGAAGTCAGTCTGGAGATTCCTCAGAAACCTGAATATAACCCTACCATACAACCCAGGCATCCCACTTCTTGGAATTTTCCCAAAGGAAATAAGTTGGCAAACAAACAAGCTGTCTGCACCTTAATGTTTATTGCAGCTCAGTTCACAATAGCTAAAACCTGGAACCAACCCAAATGCCCATCAACAGTAGACTGGATAAAGAAATTATGGGACATGTACTCTATAGAATACTATACAGCCATCAAAAACAATGAAACCCTGTCATTTGCAACAAGATGGAGGAATCTGGAACACATCATGCTGAGTGAAATAAGCCAGTCCCAAAGGGACAAATATCATATGTTCTCCCTATTTGGTGACAACTAACCGAGTACCAGAAAGGAAACCTGTTGAAGTGAAATAGACACTATGAGAAACAATGACTTGATCAGCCATTGCCCTGACTGTTGTTGTACACCTTAATACTTTATCCCTTTAAGTATTTTTTTGTTCTACTTAATATTATTGGTTGAACTCTATAATTAACACACAATTATTCTTAGGTATTTAAATTTAACTGAAAAGGGATCTTTTAAATATAAGAGTGGAAATAAGAGAGGGAGGAGATGTACAATTTGGGACATGCTCAAGCTGACTTGCCCCAAATGGTAGAGTTAGAAACACGCCACAGGATTCCAATTCAATCCCATCAAGGTTGCATGTACCAATGCCATCTCACTAGTCCAAGTGATCAATTTCAGTTCACAGTTGATCATACTGATAGGTCTAAGAGTCAAAGGGATAACATAAACAAGACTAGTGTCTGCTAATATTAACTGATTGAATTAAAAGGGGAGAGAATGATCCAACATGGGAAGCGGGATATGCAGCAGACTCATAGAATGGCATATGTCCTAAACAGCACTCTGGCCTCAGAATCAGCCCTTAAGGCATTCGGATCTGGCTGAAGAGCCCATGAGAGTATTTCAGGCATGGAAAGCCAAGACACTCTGGCAAAAAAAAAAAAGAGGACCTAAATGAAAGATCTGTTCAAATGAGATCCCAGTAGAAAGAACGGGTTATCAAAGAAGGAGGTACCTTTCTCTGAAGGGAGGAGAGAACTTCCACTTTGACTATGACCCTGTCAGAATAAGATTGAAATCAGCGAACTCAAAAGTCTTCAATAGCCTTGGCAACTCATGACAAGAGCTTAGGGAGATTACTGATGCCATAAACAAGAGTGTTGAATTGTTAAGTCAACAATAGGAGTCCCTGTGTACTTACTCCTCATGTAGGATCTCTGTCCTTAATGTGTTGTTCAATGTGAATTAATGCTATAACTAGTACTCAAACAGCATTTTACACTTTATGTTCTGTGTGGGTGCAAACTGTTGAAATCTTTACTTAATATGTACTAAATCGATCTTCTGTATATAAAGATAATTGAAAATGAATCTTGATGTGAATGGAAGGGGAGAGAGCATGGGAAAGGGGAGAGTTGTGGGTGGGAGGGAAGTTTTGGGGGGAAAAAGCCACTGTAATCCATAAGCTGTACTTTGGAAATTTATATTTATTCAATAAAAGTTAAAAAAAGAAGGCCGGTGCCGCGGCTCAATAGGCTAATCCTCCGCCTAGCGGCGCCGGCACACTGGGTTCTAGTCCCGGTTGGGGCGCCGGATTCTGTCCTGGTTGCCCCTCTTCCAGGCCAGCTCTCTGCTGTGGCCAGGGAGTGCAGTGGAGGATGGCCCAGGTGCTTGGGCCCTGCACCCCATGGGAGACCAGGAAAAGCACCTGGCTCCTGGCTCCTGCCATCGGATCAGCGCGGTGCGCCGGCTGCAGCGCGCCGGCTGCAGTGCGCCGGCCGCGGCGGCCATTGGAGGGTGAACCAACGGCAAAGGAAGACCTTTCTCTCTGTCTCTCTCTCTCACTGTCCACTCTGCCTGTCAAAAAAAAAAAAAAAGTTAAAAAAAGAACAACTCTATACTAAGTAAAGATTTCAACAATTTGCACACACACACAGACATAAAACTGTTTGAGAACTGGTTTTACAGTTAACTCTCAATACAACTCATTGAAGACAGTGGTCCTGCATGGGGAGTTAGTGCACATTGACTCTTGTTATTAACTTAACAGTTAACACTGTTATTTATGACATCAGTGACCACAATGAGCAGCCTGGGTTATGGAAGCCTTTTGAGTCCACAAACTCTGCTGTATTTGGACAAGGCCATAAGCAAAGTGGAAGTTTTCTCCTCCCTTTAGAGAAAAGTACATCCTTCTTTGATGGGCACTTACTTCCACTGGGATCTCACTCACAGAGGTCCTTCAAGTAGAACATTTTTTGCCACAGTGTCTCAGCTTTCCATGCCTGAAATGCTCTCACAGGCCTTTCAGGCAGACCAGGAAGTCATAAGGGCTGATTCTGAGGTCAGAGTTTTACTTACAGCAATTGTCATTCTATGAGTCTGCTGTGTGGACTGCTTCCCATGTTGGACATTCTCTCCTTTTTCATTCTAACTATTATTATTGCAAGGCACTTGACCCTATTTATATTATTTCTTTACACTTTACACTTAATTCTATCTATAAGTTCACTTTAACATTTAATATGATCACTTTAACAATTAAGATGGCATTTTTACCACCAATTTTAATGGGATTTGGAGTCCCATGGCCAGTTTTTAAACTGTACCCTTAGTAGTAATTCTGTAGCAATGTATGCAGAACTATATAACTGTAAATCTGTAAACATCCTCCTCCCTCTCTTGTTCCCACTCTTATTATGTACTGAGATCTATTTTCAATTGACTTTATACACATATAATTAACCATGTGTTAAGTAAAGAGTTCAACAAGTGGTATGAAAAAAAGGAGAAAAAACAAAATGAAACTATTCCTCAACAGTCAAGACAAGGGCAGCTCAAGTCATCCCTTCTCAAAGTGTCAATTTCACTTCTGCAGAGTTCCTTTAGGTTAATTCTCACAGATCAGGGAGAACATATGGTACTTGTCCCTTTGGCACTGGCTTATTTCACTAAGTATTGTTACCCACATTCATCCATTTTGTTTCAAATGACCAGATTTTACTTTTTTAACCACCATGTAGTATTCCATCGTGTACATATTCCATAATTTCTTTATCCAGTCTTCAGTTCATGGGTACTTAGGTTGATTCCATGTCTTAGCTATTGTGAATTGAGCTGCAGTAAACATGGAGGTGCAAATAATGCTTTTGTTTACTGATTTCATTTCCCTTTGGTAAATTTCCAGGAGTGGGTTAGTTGGGGCATGTGGCAGGTCCATATTCAGATTTCTGAGGTATCTCCATACTGTATTCCATAGTGGCTTTACCAGTTTACATTCCAACCAACAGTGGATTAGGGTACCATTTTCCCCAGATCCTCGCCAGCATTTGTTATTTGTTGATTTCTGTATGAAAGCCATTCTAACCAGGGTGAAGTGAAACCTCATTGTAGTTTTGATTTGAATTTTCCTGACAGCTAGTGATCCTGAACTTTTTTTTTCATGTGTCTGTTGGCCATTTGAGTTTGCTCTTTTGAAAAATGTCTGTATAAGTCCTTAGCCCATCTCTTAAGTGGGTTCTTTGTTTTGTTGTTGTGGAGTAACTATTTTTTTAAGATTTATTTAGTTATTTGAAAGTCAAAGTTACACAGAGAGAAGAGGCAGAGAGAGAGGGGGAGGAGGAGGGGAGAGGGAGAGGGAGAGGGAGAGGGAGAGGGAGAGGGTGTGGGAGAGGGAGAGGGAGAGGGAGAGGGAGAGGGAGAGGGAGGTCTTCCATCTGCTGGTTCACTCCCCAACTGGCCATAATGGCCAGATCTGTGCCTATATGGAGCCAGGAGCTTCTTCTGGATCTCTCAAGCAGGTACAGGGGCCCAAGGACTTGGGCCATCTTCCACTGCTTTCCCAGGACATAGCAAAGAGCTGAATCGGAAGTGGAGCAGCTGGGACTCAAACCGGCACCCGTATGGGATGCTGGCACTGCAGGTAGCAGCTTTACCCGCCTGTGCCACAGTGCTGGCCTGTAGAGTTTCTTGATCTCTGTAGATTCTAGTTATTAATCCTTTGTCAGTGGCATAGTTTGCAAATAATTTTTCCCATTCTGTTGGTTGCCTATTCACTTTCCTGTTTCTTTTGCCGTACAGAAACTTTGATTTTAAGTAATCCCATTTGTTTATTTTGGCTTTGATGGCCTGTGCCTCTGGAGTCTTTTGTAAGAAATCTTTGCCTATGCCAATGTCTTGCAGGGTTTCCCCAATGTTCCCTCTTAATTTGATGGTGTCTGATCATAGATGTAGATCTTTAATCCATGTTGAGTGGATTTTTGTGTAAGTTAGGGGTCTTGCTTCATACTTCTGCATGTGGAAGTCCAGTTTTCCCAGTACCATTTGTTGAAGAGACTATTCTTGCTCCAGGAATTGGTTTTAGATCCTTGGTCAAATATACGTTGGTTGTAGATGTTTGGATTGATTTCTGGTGTTTCTTTTCATTTCCACTGATCTATCCATCTATTTTTGTACCAGTACCAGGCTGTTTTGATTATAACTGCCTTGTGCTATGTCTTGAAATTTGGTATTGTGATGTCTCTGGCTCTGTTTTTGTTGTATAAGTTGTTTTAGCTATTTGAGGTCGCCTGTTCCTCCATGTGAATTTCAGCATCATTTTTTTCTGGATCTGAGAAGAATATTTTTGGTATTTAGATTGGTTTCACATTGAATCTGTAAATTGCTTTTGGAAGAATTGACATTTTGATGATATTGATTCTTCCAATCCATGAACATGAAAGATTTTTCCATTTTTTGTATCTTTTTCTATTTCTTTTTATTTATTTATTTTTTTTTTTTGAGAAGCAGAGTGGACAGTGAGAGATAGAGACAGAGAGAGAGGTCTTCCTTTGCCATTGGTTCACCCCTCACAATGGCCACTGCAGCCAGCGCCATGCGACTGGTGTACTGCGCTGATCCAAAGCCAGGAGCCAGGTGCTTCTCCTGGTCTCCCATGGGGTGCAGGGCCCAAGGACCTGGGCCATCCTCCACTGCACTCCCTGGCCACAGCAGAGAGCTGATCTGGAAGAGGAGCAACCGGGACAGAATCCCGTGCCCCGATCGGG